GATCTTCTTCAATCAGTAAGATCTTTAAACACCCAGCAACGTCAAGGATATGAAAAATTACTGTCTAGTGTAGAGACAAGGCAAAAAACATCAACGGCTTGTAACTTGTTGAAGTTCAGCCAAACTATTTGTCTATAACTAGAGGTGCAGGTGTTAGAAAATCTCATTTTGTCAGATAATTTATCACACTGCTACATAAGAGTTTTAGAAATGGATTTTTTTAACCTGAAAAAACCAACAGTATTGCTAGGAGTACCTAAAGGTGCAGCTGCTATTCACATTAATAGTACTACAACACATACTGCATCGGCATGCAATACTTAAAGAATCAGATCAAAATCTTCTACCAATGTCAGACCAAAAGCAAACACACATAAGAATGGCACTAATAATTATTAATTAAATATTTATGCTGGACATCTACCAACAACTGAAAGAAATATTTGCTTCTCCATTTAACCAGCTATTTACAGGACTTAGTATTATTGTTGCTGGTGATTTGTATTAACTTCCATCCATCCATAGCAAGCCTGAATTTGATGGAAATAAGATTAATGTTTCCAATCTGTGGCATCCTCATACCATTAAAAAATAGCTATTTATCAAAACACCAATAAACCATATGTAATTTATATAAAAATTGATAACCCTCACACTGGATTGAAAGCTATAGAAAAATGTAAAGACATATATGCTACAGAAAATGGAACTGTACCAATACCACCTGTACTAGCCAGAATAAAGGTAAGTCCAGAAAAGTCAACTTCATCAGAGATACAGAGACTACAATTCCCTCTCTCACTTGCATGGGCATGTACAGTAGACTAAGTTCAGGGTTTGACACTGAATGAGATTGTAGTTAGCTTCAACCTTAAGAGGCAAATTAATTTTAACTATGGACAAATTTGGATTGCATGTAATTTCATAAATAAACAACAAATGTGCAAGAGCAAATCTAAAAGTCTAAGCAGTATATCACAGAATGCGACAACTGCTTAGGCAAGTTCTTCCACTACAAATGGAAATCACTAATGTTTGTCTCTTAAATATATGTTCCTCATGTTGACATCAAGCACAATACACGTCTAAAAGAAAGCAATATCTTACATAGAGGTGTTATCCTAATAGAAACTCAACTTTTAACACACAACTCAACTATCAGAGAACACTACACTCTTATTAACTGTATAGCCAGGACCACCTCTCTGATAAACATTCAAGTCTTGCTATTTGTACTAAAGAAAATATCAATACATTAGAAAAGGAGTATATTCCTGCTATGCTAATAGTGATTGTTATATTTAACTCTTTGGCTAATTAAAAAATCATCTCTCTTGACAAAAAGAAAAAGCACCTCAAACACTTAACAGTATTTAGATGAACTAAGGCATGTTCTTGATACTTTTTAGGTTGATATTGTTTTAGGTGACTTTAATTTCAATTACTTCAATGAACATAATATCATACCACTTTATGATATCCTATGATTATGTCCAGGTTGTACAAAGTGCTACATGTATGTCAGCTGGAAGTCTGTCTAGACCATGTCTACCAGAAACATACCAGTTGCAATACAACAGAAAGAACAGTAGTAAATGAGTATTACTCAGACAAGCCATGCAGTAATAATGACTATTTGTAATACCTCTACAAAATTTTAAGTATTAAATAAATGCTTCTTCTAAAGGGAGACCAATTTAAGAAATATTTATCATCTCTTTACTTTTCTTCAATTAAAAAGTGCCAGTCACGACTAATTAACAAGGTCTGTTGCAAAGATTGAAAAAGTCCAATTTCAGCATGAATAATCCTCAGCCAACAAACAAGTGAAACATAGCCGTTACCTCATAAGTAGGGGGTAAGGATGTATTCAAAGTTAGTTTTGTCCAATCAGAGTTCAAGATTATGTGGTGTAATTGATAAATAAACTTCATGACAATGAACTTACAATTAGAACCAAGGTCAGAACACTTGTGTTTCCTTTCTCTTAAGTATATATATGAAACCAATCATAACTCTGATCCATTGAAGTGACAACTTTTAAAAGGTTAAGGTATTAATAGCATTGTTCTTAAGTCACCAAACCATTTCAGAATCTCAAAAGATGTCCTCAAAAAGAACAGCGTATGCCCCAATAATTGCTTTCTATCCACAATACTACGCCTGTTCTAAAGATGGGAAGAAAATTGTGGCAAATAATATGACCTGCATCAGCACTCTGAACTCATGAAAATATAAGATCACATATTTGAGATATAGAATGGCCACAAGGAGTGAGACACCATGGCTCTCTGTGGAAAGCTGATACAGAAGAAAGAACCAACTACTGTTGGTCTAAGGAAACTTTAGCTGAGTGAAGTGGTGTTAGCGGACACCAGTGTCTATTTCATTTGACATCTTTGACAAACACCCACAAATTCTCTGTGGGATGTGTTTACAAATTAAATCCTGTGCAAGTGTGGGTTTGGAAAAACAACAAGAGAATCCTCATTATCTATGAGAAAACTGTCACAAGCAATCACCCTGGATAAAGAACAAAATGAAGCAAATAAAGAAACAGCTGTCATTGTGAAATAATTTATTACAGTTTAATCTGTTGCTCCTGGTGATATTCATGCTAATCCAGGCCCAGATTGCAACACTAATTGCATGTTGGATCTGCATTCAGCTGTTTATATGTGCTTTTGTCTTCAAATTCAGAAATGACTCCTATAGGTGACTTCAAACACTCTAACACTTGCCAACTACCCTTCTGCTGAATTGCACAATGCCTCTTTGCACTCCTTCAGGATGTTTAAATGCATTCATGTGTTGTGGTGCACTGTCTGGCATTGTTTGGTGGTGTTGGTTTGTGAATTATTTACACTTTGGGTGCTGTGGACATATGTAGATTTTTTTGGCAACCAAGGACCTAGATAAATGTTCCCACTTCATACAAAGAATTTTTCCCTCAGTTAGCTCTACAATATATTCTGGTTGCTCACAGAGGATTGGGGAGACCAGTAAATTTCACTGATCATAATCAGGGACTATAGAACAAATTATGCAACTCAACATTAAAATACACTCAACACTATTTCATTCAATTACAAAGAAACAGTTATTGACCTCATTGCTCCTTTTTATTATGTTACCCTAGAAAAGAACTACGTACCTTATATATTTATTACAATGCATTCTAACATAGTATATTTCTTTAGCACCAGAGTTTTATTAATGCCTCTCATTCAATTTTATTCCATTTAATATTCTTTGTTAATATTCTTTGCTAAGGACAGACAGGATTAATCAGCCTAAATTATTTGAGTTAAGGGCACATATCTCCTTCATATGGTATGTCTGTAACTAAATTATCATAAATCAGTTCTCTCAAATAATATTTAAGCCATCCTCCAAGTACTGAAAGAACAATAAATATCAATATCAAGCTGGATGGTTTGTTCAAACAAGGTCAAAACTTTGTAAATGTGGAAAACTTAAAAATGTTATTCTTGAAATATGTGCTTCACAAAACAATTCATATTAAGGTTAAAATTTCCTATTGTCTGTAAATAAGTACATTTTAAGAATCTTTTTCAGATATATTTATACATTAGTATTTGCATTTTCTCTGAAGAAAGTGGAGAAACAGTAAGTATATGAGTTACTTAGACATTCTATCCAAGAGCTACTGTTATAAAATAATTCAAATAGTACGCACGCTCTGATTGGCCATAAAACCATTTTACATGAGCGTATGTAAACACAGTTTTCACACTGAATCTTCTCACAGAGTTCTCCCTGCTATTTATTTAGCAGTAACTCAGTTTCTTTAAGTTTGTTTTGAGTACAGTAATGGAAGAAGAACAAGCATGTCGCTTTCCTTCATTGCAAGAAGAGGCTCTTTCATTAGTTATTTTATAAAAGAAATGTAAAATGGTTTCCATGTTTACATAGCCTGATGTAAACACTTGGGAGGTTGGAAGAACACTCAATAAGCTGGAAACCACTCCTCTTTGCGTAGTGGTTTCCTACGCTTATCTTGTGTTCTCTTAACCTCCCACGTGTTTACATCAGGCTATGTAAACATGGAAGCCATTTTACATTTCTTCAGTAACATGTGGGTGGTGAAATATTTACCAGCCTAATTAAGAAAAATTATTGAAATAATATCAAGATATATGTAAATGCGTGACTTTCGAACTTGCGTGACATTTTCGTTACAGTTGGCCTTTGTGCCATTTGATTCCTTTAAATAGTTTTTCCCTCCCGCTTTCATTAATCGCCTGTTCATGTTCGGTGTTCATCTAAAGTTAATTTATAAAGTGTGATTTCAAGCCACCGGTGTATAGGGACTGATATTTTACGAGATTGATTAAAGTTATGTCCCTGTAATATGTCCCCTGGGTATCCGGTTAGATCGCTCCATGGTTAGATCGCTCCAAGTCAGATCGCTCCATACCGAAGTCAGATCGCTCCACTCGAAAGTTAGTTCGCTCCATCAAATAAGTTATTTCGCTCCATACATAAGTTAGCGCTCCATGTAGAAACCTAATACACTAACTTACTTCTGATCTACTTCTGATGATGTGTAGATTCATTTCGAACTACCGATGTTGGAACAAGTGTTTCAGTGTGTAATGAACGTAGAAAACTAATAACCTAACTTACTTCTGATCTTTGTAGTTTATAGTTGATGATGTTGCTTGCGATCAAGTTGCTGAAATATAAAGTGATCGACGATTCGTTCACTTGAACCCACCAAAGCGAATTACCAATGATGAAATAAGTGTTTCAGTGTGTAATAAATGATGATCCTTCTGTCTTTTATCAAAGTTTTCTTCATTAACTTATGTATGGTCGAAGTAATATATCTGACTTCGGTATGGAGCCTGGATTTGGTCTGGCATTTTTCTCCGGTCACGATTTTCTTGGTATTTCATCGAGCCTTGATGTTCGTTTGCCGCAACAGTAAAATATCACCAATTGACGCCTTTGGCTGGAATTAAAATTCGTTGAGGATGAGCGATAGTGGTAGTCGATCGCCTCGAGCTACAGTTCGAAAGATCCTCTCATTGGAGAAGGAACAAGCAGAAGTTGAAATTCCGAATGAACTATGCGATTTAAGAGATCTTAGTTTAGACGAAGCCAATAGTCCTCGTGGCAGGAAACACGATCCTCCAAATTTGAGAGAACCGCACGAGCGGACTTTGACTGACAAAGGCAGAGCCTATCAATTGGAAATTCGCGCTTTAAAGAAACAAGAAGTGGAAAACAAATTGTGTAAACATGTTGGAAGAATTTACTCATTGCTCGACTCCCACCCGGGTACCGAAGAATTAGAAAAGGAAAGACAAATCCTGGATGTAATTAAAGAGGAGCTTAACCAGGCATACCGATCTTATGACGAGTTACTTGATGATGAAAGCGCTAAAGGTGCCGCTTACCGATATTTCGATTTGTGCGATCGGGAGTTTATCGAATGTCGAGTGCGGCTATCCGAAATCCTTCGTTCAGTCGAACAACGAGAACATGAAAAATTCGAATCTAATAGGCAAGAAACTGAATCAAGCCGTTCTGGAAGGTCAAGGGTTTCAGGTTCTTCAAGATCTTCTAGGTCGTCGGTCATGTCAAAGAGAGTAGAGGCGGCGACCAGAGCAGCGAAGTTAAAGGTCGAAATGAAGTACCTGGATCAGGAAACCAATTTAAGAAGAATTCAGCTGGAAAGGGAGATCGCCTTAGCAGATGCTGAAGAAGAAGCTATCAAATTGGTTATGAACGAAGAAGTGAAAAATGGCATAGTTCGCGAAGATATGAAATCTGATGAGAGATTCGAACGAAATTTCCGCGAAGCTAAATTCGATGTCGGAAAAACTGTCATAAAACACGAACCTTCATTGTTGAGACCGGAAGCACTTCCTTTCGCGCCGTTGACGCCGCCAATAAGACCAGCCGCTAGTCGAGTAAACAATTTCGCTCCAAAGCGAGACGAGCCGACAACACATCAAGAAGCGACTCTTAAACAAATAGTCAGTCTCCAAGCGAAACAAGCGGAATTAAGCGCTCTAATTGTCAACCAGCAAAGAGCTAGTACGCTTCCTTCTCAAGAACCGCCTGTCTTTAAAGGAAGTTATTTCGATTACCCGACATTCATAGCTGCCTTCGATGCCATGATAGAGAAGAAAGTTGACTCAGAAAAGGATAAACTGTATTTTTTGAGCAAGTATACTTCCGGCAAAGCCCACGAAGTCGTAAAAGGTTTCTTGACCTGGGATTCTGACCAAGGTTATGAAGAAGCTCGTAAGCTCTTGGCTCAGCGCTTCGGCAACCCATTTCGAGTAGCGGAAGCTTATAAGGCTAAATTGCGAAATTGGCCGCAGATCGTCGAAGGAGATAGCTCCGGTCTTCAAGATCTCTCTGATTTTCTTGTCCGTTGTGAAGGAGCCATGCAGTCCATGAAGTACATGGAAGATCTAAATTCAACAAGGTTACTACAGGAAGTAAGCACAAAACTACCCTTCAAGTCAGGCTCCAGGTGGTGTCGCCAAGCACGTGATGTCCTGAAGAAAACGGAGAGAACGGTATCCTTCCACGATCTAGTAGAATTTGTCAGAGAAGAAGCAGATCTCGCAAATGATCCGGTTTTTTCTCCCGAAGCGTTGAAAAGTAAAAAAAACAAGGCGCCTGACAGAAGCCGAATAATGAGAAGTCAGGGAGCAAACAGTTTTGCATCGTTTTCCTCTCGTACCCCGCCTAGGGAGAGCAGAGGAAGGCCTAATGCAGAGCAAGAGCCGAAACAGCAAAGTTCGTGCGTCTTCTGCGGCGGTAACCACCCACCTCACAAGTGCGGAGAACTAAGCAGGAAGAGCATTGACGAGCGCCTGGCACTGGTTAGATCGAAAGGCCTCTGCTTTGGATGCCTGAAAAGGGGTCATCAATCGAAGAACTGTCGAGCTAGGTTAAATTGCGAGAAATGCGGTAGGCAGCATCCGACTCCACTTCATGACCCTACGTATAAAGAAGGATCTAGCAACCAGAATACTCCTGAATCATATCGGCCCGATCCGGTCCAAAGTCATCAAGTAAGTGCAGAGGTCGCGAACGACGACAGTACAATCTCCAACCCCAATGTCGGTGTGTGTAGCGCTGTGAGTGGGCAAGGCATTGTAACGAACTCTTTAATCATCCCAGTCTATGTGTTTCGTAAGAGTCACCCCGAACTTAAAGTCAAGGTTTATGCGTTATTGGATGACGCTAGTGACACGACGTTTATCAAAACGGACGTGAAAGATAAGCTTGGAATCCCTGGAGTTAATTCGAAACTTATCCTCAGTACCATGCTTGGAATTGAAGAAATCAACGTTTGCAGAGTGGATGGGCTGGTAGTTGAGAGGATAGACCAGCGCGTTCAAGTCGAGCTACCCAGGACGTACTCCAGAGACCAGATACCATCAAGAAGAGACCAGATTCCTAGTCCTGAAGTTGCAGCTGTGTGGCCACATCTCCAAAAGATCAAAGACA